TGTTTGGAAAGTTGGGATGCTCATTTTTTCCCCCCAAAACAGGATTTCCTCAGTAAGAAGATTAAATATGTTCAGTCCTTGGGTCTTCATGAAGAACCTTCATGGAACTATCATCCATCTCCTGTGTGGCTCCACTAGAACAGCTCAGTCATCCTCATCTGTTCAAATCTCCTTCCATATCACCACAGAGAAACTCATAAGCAGCACAGCTCCAACTGAGTTGTAGTCTGATATGGGATCTATTGACAAAGGAGATCTGTTCAGAGAACGGATTTAAAAATATCTTTTGATAGTTAACGGAAAGACAATATCTTCGGCAGCAATAGTTGTATCTACAGCAATTATAAGAAAAATGCCAAAATGGCCACAAGGTGGCTCAGGGGAAGAAATCTCCCTAGTAAAGTATTTTTCTGGTAAAGAATGAGATTTTAATTTTATTTCTGCATGTGGTATATAAAGCTCCTGCACTCTGGAACATCTCTATTCCCCTCTCTCTCTCAAATGTACAGAATTATTTCTGGATTTTATTCATTTTTCACGCATTTTGGCATGGGTGGAAAATATAGAGTGTTGATGTCGAGAATAAAGGAATACTCCCAAGATTCAGGCTGCAGTGCAGTACATATTTACCTGGAAATAAGCCCAAGTGAAAAAAAAATTAGACTTTTCCCCCTAAATAGATATAATTAGGTACGTGATGTTGCTGGTTCTTCTACCATTAAGGTATTGTTATGCTTGTTATGATAACATTGCTTCTGAAAGGACGGCAGGTTGGTGGGCTGGTTAGCAGCTTCCAGCACATATTTCTTAATGCATTTTGTGGTGGAGAGTATGTGGTTGTCCCCCATTTCTAGAGAGCCCAGAAAAGGAATAATCAGACTTTTTCTCAGGGAAATGTCGTTGGAGAAGAGATCAGCTTGGTTCTATTCAAAACTGTTCATAACATGGATTCTTATATCACTGGGTAGCTCCTGTAAAGGGTTATAGCTTTCTGCCTAGGAGAAGAGTAAAAGTATTACTTACACCTGAAGAATTTGAGTAGCAGCAGGAATGTGGGTTTGTGTGTGTGTGTGCGCAGTAGTTGTGGTAGGAGTAGAAAATACATGACTAATATATGTTGTTTTCAATCATATCAAAAGCCTAAGAAGCAATCAACATGATGAAAGAAATCCAGATGTGCTTGTGCATCACCTTTCTATTTGCATTTGGAATAGTTTATGAACTGTCCCAAGAAGCAGATTGCTTCTTTTTCTGCAAACCAATTTCCAGACATTTCCTGAGGCCCAAAGATGTCGTATCCCAGGGCAAAAGTATCATCTTTCTGGAGACAACTGATCGTCTGCAACCTTCTCCACTTGTTTTATGTTCTGTGGAATCTGCTGCCAGAGTTTATCCAGACAAGCCCATCATTTTCTTTATGAAAGGACTGAACAATAACACATTGCCAGATATCAAATCTTCTTATCCCTCACTTTTCTTCTTACCAACTATGAAGAATGTTTTCCTTTTCCCTCTTCAGATGGACATATTATTCCAGGACACACCTCTATTGCCATGGTTTCTTCAGGTGAGATGGGAAATGGGAGTGTTTTTCTGAATAGCAAGAGAAAAAGGCAACATTAATTCCAATAGATCTGTTCTGTTGAATCTGTATTGCTTTTGCATTTATCAGTAGAAACACTCTCCCTTGAAAGTTGCATTTGACTCCAGCCCCATTCACTCAGTATTTAGGGAATCTGTTGACATCTCTTTCCAGGTTTTTAACTGTTACATGATTTTACTACTTACTGGAATCTTAATTTTACTCTGTGTCTTTCATTCTTTATATTCTATGTTATAAATTTTGTTAGCCATCTTAAGTACTCACCAGAATAGAAATGGGAGGGAGTATAAACAATCCATTTGGGAGTTTCCCCTCTAATGCAGACCATGGCAACAAGACTATTTCTTACAATTTACTGTATGACATGCTACAGGAAATCTTCTGTCCTCTTTTCTTTAAAATTAAATGTACCTTGTACTCACAGTATAATAGGGCTATTCACTAAGACTCTGTCTCACCTATAGCACTTCCAGGAATGACCATGAGACTGCTCCTAAAAAAAATCAGTCCTGGTTCAGAAATCTTTCCCAAACATAAAAGTTAGAAGGAAGTATTTTACCTGATCTTCACTGCTCTGATTAAGAGTAAAGAAATAAAGTTAAGAAGTCAAATGCATACTGTATAATTAATACAACGTATCAGGGAATAACTCCATTGGCTGTCTATTCTTTGAGAAATTATTCTCTAAGAACAAAACACACAATTGTTTACCAGGTCAGGCTACTGTATTAATCTATACAGCAGCAGCTCTGCAGGTTCTTCAGAAAAGGGCTTAAGCATCATCTAATTTCTGACTCATTGAACTAGAGATAAAAACTTGGATTTGAGATATTTTACATGTGCTTACATACTTTTTAAATATTATGTTGTACCTAGAGGAACAATATGAACATTTTTTTTCGTTAAGAAGTCTGCACTTTTGCTGAACCCATTTTTATTTTGGTATTGTTTACACCCAATGTAAAATATTGCCTTCTATAAATTAGTCAGACTGTTGCATTCTGAACAAGTTGCAGCAGTATTTATATTCTGATCACAATATATTTTGTTGTTTATATCTTTTAGAGGGTATTAAGAAAATACAGAAATATAAATTCACTTCACTTTCATTTAAAGATTCACTTTTGTGACATATATAATGTATTTATTGTGACATCTTTAATTAACTATTTTTAGTTAGCTATTTTTCTGCAAAATCAGTATGTAAAGCCAATATTAGACTTTGCTCATCTACATCTACAGAAAATGGTAGCCTTGATAATAATGGAAATAGAGAATATCTGGTTAGCTAGTAAATGCTGCATTGAAAGTAATTCTATGATATTCAAATGAGCGACAATAATATAAACTCTGTTAAGAATGAATAGAATTCTGAGAAGTAATAAAATCATCCTCAAAACAGTGAGTATCAAAGGAAGGGAAAATTGAATAAGAACTAAAATCAAGTATCTTATTTTAGAGAGGTTAACAAAAGATGTGAAGGAACTATAAGTATTACAGCATATAACTTAAATGGAGTATTGTTAAGAAATTGAAGTTCAGAGACCTTTATAACTTAGCTATTAGTTGCAATCTCTAATAATGTCTTAATTTCCAAATAATTTTGGAAAGGTTAACATCAGCTCCTCTAATTTGACTTGAAATATCACATGGCTCCTCTAATTCAGTTTGAAATAGCAAGTGGACTGATTGCCAAACTCCTTAGAAAATGTTTCAAACACATTTCTTTTTTTACAATTAAGCTTTTCAGACTTGTATTATTAATCATATCTTACATAACAGACAGGCAAACATAACAGGCAAACTGGCCATCCGGTTTTTGAATTATAACTTCCAGCATCTAGCATCATTATAGCTAGAAGGAGATAAAGTTCATCAGTATCTGTAGGATTACAGGTTTCTCATCCATAACATAAATATTCTGTTGGCTTGCCATTTCTGTTACAGGTGCTAGAATAATCTCCATTATATTTCACACAGTTTGATTAATTCTAATTTGTAATTTTATTTTTATTGTTTTCTTCATATTGTCATTAAGTAAATTGTATCTATATTTTTTTTATTGTAAATTAATGAGGAAGAGGATGATGATGATGGGGTGTTTTAAGTGAAGTAAGCATTTAAGCATTTCTGGAAAAAAATCTCTATTTTAAATAATTTATTTACAAATAATCAATATAACTAAAATGAATGGAACCTTTGGAAAATAAGTATTTTATTTATAATTTTTTTAAAAAAACATATTTTGGTTAGCACAAACCAACATATATATAACATGCAACATCTTGATTAGTTCAGGATCTCAGGCATTAAGCTCATATATACCTTTTAGCCTACCACATCCAGAACTTGAATCTGGAATGTGTTATGCAAGCTGTTTTATAGGGATAAGGCTTCCTCACTGCAAATACCAGAAGCATTGCATATACTGAAAGGAAGGTTTATCTTAGTAACTAGTTGTTTTTCCTTGCTTATGTATCAATTTTGAAATTTTCAGGTCAATACAACAAAGGAGAAGTACTGGCCCTACATTATTTCTGATGCAATCAGACTTGCAGTAGTGTGGAAATATGGTGGAATTTATATGGACACAGATGTTATTTCCATCAAACCTATCCCAGTGGCTAACTTTTTGGCAGCTCAGTCTTCCCAATTCTCCAGCAATGGAGTCTTTGGTTTTCAACATCATCATTGGTTCCTCTGGGATTGCATGAAAGATTTTGTTCAAAATTACAATGGAGACATCTGGGGAAATCAGGGACCTGACTTAGTTACGAGAATACTAAAGAAGCTATGCAATCTCACAGATTTTGAGAAGGTGGAAGACCATATATGTTCCAACATTTCCTTTTTGCACCCTCAACGGTTCTATCCCATCCCTTATGAGGCATGGACAAAGTACTATGAAGTATGGACCTCAAAGCCAGAGTTCAATCATTCCTATGCTGTGCACTTATGGAACTTCATGAACCAGAAAGAGAAAAAGAATGTGACCGTTGGAAGCAACACACTTGTTGAAAACCTGTTCAGAACATATTGTCCTAGTACATATAGGAGTCTGGTTCAAGCTGCAGAAGATATGGTTGCCTCAAAATAAAACTAGTTAAGGGTGTAATCCTATTGCTTCTGTGATAGTACTCCAGGAACCTGGGAACCCCCTCCTCTCTTCTTACATGCATGCCAATTTCTGATGCTGGATATTTAAAAGACCAGGAAATCATGATCTCCAAAACCCCAACAGAACATAGGAAGTTCTGGGTGGGAGAGGACAAAGGAAGTTAAAGCTCCCCCTGCCCCAATCCATTATGCTACTAAGACTCAGTGGGAGTTTAGACGAGCCTCTCGACTGCTCAGAAACATATGTAATAGGAGGGGAAGTTTTCTCTCCCATACAGAACTGGAGTACTCTAATCTTACCTTGGGCTTTCTCTATAATTCCAGCATATCACAACTGTGATTTGAAACTCAGTAATCCTTCAAATATTAATTTGGCAATCTTTAGATAATATTTAACATTTACAGAAATACAGGGAATGAATGAGCTATATACAGTAATTAGGACCTGTATTGGAGCCCAAGAAATATACAGCTTCTTTTTAGGATTTTTCAAAGGTAATTCTCACCATTTTCCTTTCACACTAGAAAACTAAAGTCTGTATTGTGGTGATGGCCAGCGCTCAGTGTTATATGAGAAGCAGTCACATGCAATAGTGATAAGGACTATCTAAGGGCAGAGGTTTATTGCTTTTAAAATAAAATAAAAGTGATACTTTTAATTGTATGTTATTGATATGTTATTGCTTAGCAAATATTTTTATGGGAACCTGTCTTTGAACAGGGACAGAAAATTGCAAATCAGAAATGGGTAATAGGGGACCCCTTTTGTCATAGCTCCTAGTACTTCTGCAAAACCACTCATGACTTTGAGCTGGCAATGAGGACACAATGTGGGGAATCCTTAAAGATAGGTTTGTGCTTGGAGCACCAATTGTGAACTTAAATGTAATTTATTTCTATTACTTTAAACAGCAACCTATGGAATGTTTCTTTTATCACTTTTCTTTGATGAAAGTTTATAAAATCATCATTACTGATATCATTTGCATCATCAGGAGATGCCCATTGCACCTTTGCAACCACATTCCATAATGTACAATTGCAGTGTTATCTCTGGCTATGGAAAGAATAATAATTCCATTTTTCAGTAACAGTTGAAAACAGTAATGATGATGAAACGTAGAAGCCAGGAAGCCCTGGTATCTTCTCATCAAATGAATATATATTTAAAGCTGGGGAAAAAAGACTAGGAATGGAATATATTGTCCAAAGCAAGTTTATTTTTTATCTGTAACCTCAGTGTTTTCCCCAATAGGGCACTTTAGCACTAAGACATGCTCTTTCACATAGATCTATTCTAGCTGGCACTTAATACAGCACTATATTCCTGATCACAAACCTGCTGCACTAAGTCTCTCCGTGAACAAGATCATATTTACTAAGAAGAATGTCCCATATGATCTACTTTGCAATACTTGTTCAGCCAGTTTCCCATTTCAAGTCTGACTGTGCAATATACCTATGCATACCTGTCCTTGGAACCAGGCTCCCTGGCTCGGTTAGTGGGTCTTCTCTGCTCAGAAACCTGGACTGGATCCTCACTATTCCTTCAGACTCTCATTGTGCCTTCTGAACTCTTAGATGTGTTTTCCATTAATAGTGGGGGGAAAAATGCTGATCACTATTTTTGATGTTTGGCAAAATAGGCTTAAGTTCTCAGGCACCATGTAGTAACCTCTGAAGGGCAAAACAAACCTCAACAATTAGAGGTGACCTTCTAACCGTATCTTCTGATGTAGAGCCAGCAACAGAGAAAGGAAACAGGGAGGAAGGAATGGGGAAAGTCCACACATCTTAACGTTCCCAAGGTTGAGAAACACTTCCATAGATGCTTTAGTGTTTTTCTTTTTTTGGAAACTGCCAAGAATTGTTTGATCTGTTCTACTCCCGTTACCTTCCTTCATTTTCTTTCTCACCATTTAGTTAATCACATTTAAAAATGCAAAAAGCAAGGAACGTTTCTCCTTTCTCTCATCAGTGCCAGATAACTTTTGAAGGTTTCACTTACTCTGTGAGGTTCAGTAAGTGATGCCTCCTTTCTCCATCCTGTTGAAATGTAGAACACCTAGGCTAGTGCTGGTTTCCTTGCAGGCTACACCAGCAAATTAAGGGACCTCTTTTTCCCCCCATTCATGGGCATTTTGCTTGTTTAACACGGCACACAGATACAGCTGAAGGCCCCAGTAGAAAGCAGCTCCAATCTTTGGAACTGTGTCCTCTCTGCTGCCGCGTGTTGAGACACCAAACCAGCAACCAAGAGACAGCTTTGTTATTCAACAAGCGAGGCCTTAATAGACCTCTGAGGGCCAATATTTTAATCGACTATGATTGCCCCATCCTCCCCCGTTCCACACTGTGGACAGATTGCAGCCAGAGTGAAGCTAAACAAGCAAGAGGAAGCAATCAGGTGCCGTGTTTTCATAAATTACTACAGCAACAGCTTGGCTTGGGGGACGGTTTACCAGCTGTTTTCAGCCCTCCTGGGAAAAGCTGCGGAGGCGCAGCAGAGCCACGGAATTGCTTTCAGGCTTCCCCTCTGACGTTGCAAATTTCGGGCAGAGAAAGTGATCCGTTGCTGTGGAGAACCGGCGCTGGGATCCTGGCCTGAATGGTATTGAATTTCCTGGGTGGGAGGGGAGAGACAGGATTTCAGCGCCGAGTTTCGTCCCCGAGCCGCGCTGTTCGGATCGGCCTTTTTGCGCGCGTGTGCAGACACACATTCACACACATACCGCTCTGCTTTACCAAATATGCCTTCTGCGGGCAGGTAAGGATTTGCTTTGTTGGAAATATAGTCTTGTATTTTAGAATCAAAAAAGCTGGAGAGGCGAGAAGGAGGGGGGAGGAGGAGGAGGAGGAGGGACTATGTCTCGCTCAAGCCAGTTCCCTCTTCTCATGCATATTTGCATCGCTGTCTCGGTTAACCATTACTAGCTTGTTCATTGTTGAACCTCTGGCATATCTGAACAATAATATGGGTTACTGAACAGTGAACGAAAGGATCTCCCTCTGCGATCCATTTTCGCCAACCCAACTTTTCTTTAAAAGCCGTTTCATTTGCAACCTCCTTAGGCCCAGAGAATCCGAGGCCCCTGGAGAGTACGTGGCTTATAGCTGGAAGGGGGGTGAAGGGAAAGCGAGGCAGCGCGTCGGGTACGGTTTAGTAACAAAGCAGCCGTCTGGGTCCCCGAATGACGCTTCTTGCCCGGTCTGAAGCCGCGTGTTGTAGACTCGTGGCCTCGGGAAGTTCAATAACTTGGAAGATGCTTGGAAAGACAGTAAGGCCCCGATGCCTTCCTGTATCCTTCTTTGTTGAGGCTTCAGCGCTTCTGAAAGTCCAGAAAGTGGGCCCGCGTTTCTAACTGGAAAGGAAAGGCTGATCAAAAGCTGGTTCTTTTTTATGGGGGCCAGCGAGAGACCCCATAAATTGAGTTGGGCAGACTGTGGCCTCCACCCAGAGATGGAGATGCACAGATCCTAGCATCTTGTGAGCCAAATACCTAATCCTCATGGGTTGCATACTAGTATTTTCAGGTTGGTGAGTAGTCAGGTCAAAACCATAGCTACTATATCTCATCAGTGATCTAAGGGATCAGGGCATGTATATTTTTCCACACCCCGAAACACACTTTTAGTCACACCTACCACAGTGTGCCTGTCCTGTTTTCTCCCAAAAATGATGATGTTGAGTTGGAGTTTTGTCATCTTTTAATTGTGTTGGGAATCCTGTCAATTTAAGCATGAAAAACTAATTGCTTTCCAAACCAGGCAGAATTGGCATAAGCCAGTGTGATCAAAAGGAGTATTAGGATTGCCAAGGTTGTCTAGTGAAAATGTCAACTGAAAGCCTGGGAAAGGAATAGTTTTTAGTAAGTTTGATTCAGAAGTGCTTCAGACCTGCATGAGCATGGGTACTTTAAAAATCACATTGGTGTTAATGAGGTAGCCTGAAAAAAAAAGGGTTGCTTTAATGAGTAGCAGAGAGATGTCATCCTCATGTGAGGTTCCAAAGCAGCTCTGAATCATTTTCAAAGCAAGCCTAGCCCTTACATCTGTATCCCACCTGTTTGTGTGAATATTTGAACTATGAAGTACTTTAGGTTCAATTTCCAAAAGGCATTTTTGGAGCACACAGAAGTATTTACATAGCACTTATCTACATCATTTCAAAAGTTGTGTCTTCTTTTCTGTTGCATAGCTGTTGTGGAATCCTAGAAAGAGTCTAGGCTGCCCTAAGGTGTTGCAGGCAAGTGCTACATTTCTGCCCCCACCCCCACTTCAGTTTTGCTGATTGTGGTGCATAGCCCTGGCTGCACAGGAAGATCTCTCCCAGTTGGAGAGATTCCAACAAGATAGTCACTCTTAAATGAGAGGAGAAGTAGTAGTTTTATTGAACATATCTTATCCATCAATCAACAAATGAGGATTCAGCAATACCTTGTGATGGGGACCGCTTCACGGAAAACCATGTCTGCTGTGGAGCTCTTGGATGAATCCCATGTCCCATACATTGAAGTAGGATTTTATAGGTTAATCATACAAAGTGTGCATGACCCAAAACCATGCTTCTTGCTTACAATTACTGTTTAGAAGACATAATTAACACATGCAGGCTTTGTGAAGGTCATGCATGGTTTTGTCATAGGTACAAATAGTTTGCTTCCAATCACCCCAAAAATCAGCTATTTCCCCTTCTCAATGATGGGGTTTAGGATGATCGTTAGGTAAACTGAATGACACATACAGAATCCCTACTAAATTTTTGTATGCAGTGTGTTCTGGGTAATTCCCTAAAATACAGTACAACCTCCAGTAAGTGGGCGACGTTCACACCTATGAGAAAAGTAAAGCACTACACCTGCCATTATAGTAAGGAGATGGCCAGTTCACCTTGACTTGACACAGCTCAGCCCTCATCAGTGACATCAGGTAAGTGGCATCAGTGGCATGCCACACTACCAGGAGACCCTGCAATACACAGATGCTGCATTTACCCAGCTTGTCCATCATTTTGCTTTGTGTTATTGTGCTTTGCTTTGTGTTATTTTTTTTATTTTTTAAAAAAACTAGCATCCATGATTCCATCATGCTGAGCATGATGTAAGAGCAGAATTTAGCTCACAGAGATCTAGGTGGGAGGAAGCAGGGTATTTAATTACAGAAGGCTTGATTCTCACTTGCCCAGGTTAAAGGTGTGAAAATAAATCTACACTCTTCTATTTATTTGTGATATTTTCCCAGTATTAAAAGTAATGGAAAAAGAAACATTTTTGTTTTTTGTGATGTATGCTGAACCCATGGTAGACCTGGCTTCTCAATTATCTGGCTCCCTTTACCTGTAGCAATAATAAGTAGATTTAGCAATTCCAGTTTATACAAGGCTAACAGATGCAGGTTATTTTAGGATTTCCCGTTAATGATTATTTTGACTGTTCATTATTTTATTGCAATAAAAAAATAGAATTGAGCTTTATGATACAAATACAAGCATCCATAACTCAGATTACCCAAGTACCCAGATGTACTAATGGATTCCTAGCAGAAAAGATGCTAGAAATCAGTGGGCCTTCTGCTGAACATTTTTCCATTGTTAAATGGCTTAGCATCTTTTCATTTGTGGCTCTACTCCTGGATAGTATTTTAATTAAATAAATGGTTTTTCCAAAACACTTCGAACACAATCACACAATGTAAAGAATGACTCTTTGACCACTGAGAGAGCATTCCATTGGACCATAGTATATTTGTGCTGCTATGGGCAGAACGTTGGAGTCTTGTTACCATCACATAAGACACACCTGGTAACTCACTGTTACTCAACACAACTGTCCACTGTAGATAAGGAACAGAACCAAGTTGATCAGAACAGCTATTCTGTACTGAAATCATGGTATGTATCATTTTGCAAACCATTTATCCCTCTTTTGACTGAATCCTACAGACAGTTATCTCACAGTAAATGTCCCTGAGTATAGCAAAATTTTCTTCTTTGTTAGCATTTAGGGTTGGTACGGTTTCAGTCCTGTGTAGACTTATGTGGACACTACTTCCATTGAATTTACTGAAGTAAATTAAATACCTTTAATTGTGCTGTAAAAGATAGCATAAGGAAGTTAATGAAATATTTACAAGCATTGTCAGATGTCCTTGTTTAAATTATTTTTAGATGTTACGAAACATTTTTTTATTAACATCATCTCAAAATTTACTGAGTGATAAACATTACTTGAAATTACTGAAGTCTTCATACCCAGACCTCAAAGTATCTAGCATTAGCCCTGGCTGATTATATACAGAAAAACAAATAAGATATACTTTTTAATTTTAAATATGGTAATATCACTGTAAAGTAATAGAAAGTCCCCATTTTATTCTATGGTGAACAGAGAATATTACTAGTGTTAATGTGATGGACTGGAATGGAGGAAGGGGGGTGAAAATGGTGCTCT